TATATATATAAATTATACCAACCAAATGTGTTTTGAAAAATAAAAGTAAACGAAAAGAAATAAATAAATTAAAGTGTTGCCAAACCGGCAACATCATTTTTGTTTCTTTTGTTTTAAACTTCTTTTTTTATTTTTGAAAGCATATTTGGTTAATAACTTCTATATATTTTTATTTTTAAAAACAAATCAACTTATTTTTTAAAAATACTCAAAAAAACCTAAAAGTTATTTTTGAGCATTTTAAAAGAAAATTACTTCCAACCAAATATAACCAAAACATAAAAAAGAAAAAAAAAAAGTGATCACAAACGGCCCCTTATCTTCTAGTCTTCTAATACTGCCCATGTGACTCCAGCTACGAAGAGCTGCAATTCTTCTGGACTCTGGAGCTGTTAAAGCCACTAGATTTCTGTGGCGGTATCCGGTTGCTCGTGTGTTGCTGTTGTTTTACTTGGTTAGAAAAACTTTTTTTTTTCTTCTTAGCAAGGAAACAAATTGGGTGCGGATATTCTGATGAAATTTTGATCTTGATGAATTTTGAAATCATTGGGTTTGCTTTGATAGGAGTGCAATATAAAAGCGGATTAACCAGACATGTACAGCGCTCATTTTAGAGCAAAGCAAAGGATGTTAAAATCATTCCAATCAAATTTTGGTTTAAGATTTCCGCACTCAATTTTCCCAGGTTGAATTATTCTGATGAAACTGATTTATTATTATTAATATTTGCAGGTATTTGTGCATCTATTCTTGATGCACTTGTTGCATCGACTTCAGGTATGTGTACTTTCGGTTGGAGAAAATTTGGGTTAGGTCATAGACTTTGGATATGTCCTGAGATTTATTCAAAGATAATTAATCAATCAAAATTTATAGGGGCATTTACATACACACCAATTCCCATGTATTTACACATCTAACTAAACTTTACTTTATTTACATTTATACAGCCCAAATATTTCATATCACAAAAAATAACACTAGTTCAACTTTTAATTCATGGATGAAGTGGCTAAAAATTGAAGTTTCCGTGTTGGACATGTATATGCATAAGAATTATGTATGTAAAGCTTTCAAATTATATTATACTAATCTCAAAGCAAATCCGAATGAATATAAAACGCACCCTGAGCCAAATCAGGTTAGGATGCCTTATTTCACGATTCTGCCTGGGACTTGGAATTAACCAGTATGAGAACGAGTTTGGTAATAGGATAACAAAAAATTTAATTCCATCTTACGACAATATGTTCCCATCTTGGTTAATTCCAAGCACCGGGCTGGGGCGTGACCAAATTTTATCAGAGACAAGATTTAGATTAAGCAGCATGAATTTTAATGAAAGAGTTAATAGGATAACAAAATTTAATTTCGCCATATGATTGTCTGTTACCATCTTGATTAATTTTAAGTCCCGGGCCAAGTCGTGACATGTTGGCCCAAATGTTTTCCATTTCAGATTCTGCATATATATATATATATATATCTATATGAATGTTGATTAATAATCTATCAATACCTTTTAATGAACAGGCACAAGCAGAGGATTTCTCCTCCAGAGAAGTTGCAGCATCCATGGGTTTTGGTAATTCAGGCTTGCCATAGGCTGTCCACACTTCTCATGTGACAATTAACCCCTCTCCTTACCTCTTGTAAATTTTTTATTATTTTATTTTATTTTTGTGTGACGAACTGTCTTATATTTTTGTTTTTTCTCCTAACTTCATAAGAGTGTGACAATCATCGAAAGAAGTATACAATCATGTTTATGATAATATATCCATCTAGTGTAGATTATGATAATATTTCATCAAGAAATTGTATGACATATCATAATAATATCAAGTGATTACTTCATAAAAAATTAGTTTTGTCTTTTAATTTTGGGCCAACTATGCAAATCTTTGAGCAATAATATGTTTTAGAAAAGCCAAGGTATGAAAGATAAGAGGATAGGAGGAATGAAAATATAAATAATCATTTGCATGAACTAATTGATATTTACAATGGAGGCAAGTTTTTTTGGATGTGACCAAAATCATTGAAGTTCAATTTTTCTAAGGTCTTCAACCATCAAACTCTACTTCTACTCTCCATTCTTTCATTGTGCTCTTTTAAGGATGTAAGTTTGCTTTGGAGGAGATAAGGAGAAGAGAGTTTTGTTCATGTAATGGAGTTACATGCAATGGAGCTCTTGTTCTAGCTTTTGTTTATTGAATTAAAATAATTTCAAATAACTTATATTTTTAATATTTTGAGTTAACTATAAACAAATTCATTTTAATCAAATGTTTCACATCAGCTTTGGTTTGGATGCCCCTCAATGTCATTATTGTACTAGCTTTTACATAGCCATGGAAGAAGAATAATGTGACAATGGGGGCGAGGTGGAGTGATTGTTATTTTCTACTTTTGTCATGTTTTAAGTTCTACATTTGTTTTAGTATTATTGTACTGTCATTTTATGTATATATTTCATTATTTTTCATGTTATAACTTATTTTTGTACTTGTTGTTTTTATTTCGGTACATGTGATATGGTATGTTAGGAAATAAGTTTGGGGGTGGAATTATGTTAATCGATAAATTGATCATATTAATATTTATGTAAAAAAAATTATATTATCATAAGGGTATGTTTGGGATCACTTTCTGTATTTTGTTTTTATTTTTTGTTTTTAGTATGTTATGTTTTTTGTTTTGTTTTTAGAAAATATGTTTGGTATTGTTATAATATATATGTTTTTAAAAGTAAAAAATATAAAAGATATTTGGTTTGATTTTTCTTTTTTTTTTAAGAAAAAACTAAACTTTTTTGTAAAACGTTTGGTCTATGTGTGCTTTAGTATTGACATCTGTCATTCATAGCGTATAAGACGTCTTTCTTGCTCTACCCGACACGAAACATTGTTTGTGGACATGTGGGCAATAGGCGTGGCCTGACGTCCGCGACTGGCGGGGGCTATTGTCGGCGGGGGATGGTGTTGGCAGGCGACGACGACGGCTACGACTACAATGACATGCAACTGGCATAAACTGCGATTGGTGGCCTTCGAGGGAGGCGGCAACTAGCGGGGGCCAGTGGGGGCAGGGCGAGCGGCAATCGGCAGTGGTTGCAGGGGCTAGGGCGAGCGACAATCGGCAGTGGTTGCAGGGGCTAGGGCGGGTTTTCTGTTTAAGTTATATGCACTTTAATTTTTGTACTTACTTTTATATTTGCATGGTGCTTATTTTCTGTTTTAGTTATATGTCTTTATTTTGCAAAAATTGTCGCTTGTTGCTTTTGTTATAATACTTTTTCAAAGTAGTATTTATTTAAAAAAATTAATGTAATTAATAAATTATATCTTAAAAGATAAATAAATTAATGAGTGAGTGATCTTATTAAAATAATATAATATTTTACTTAATTAGTTGATTTCATATTAACTTAAAATTAACTGACCAATTATGCATTATTAATATAAATTAACTTAAAATGTTGACCCCTTTTCATAATTGTTATTAGAAAATTTTAATTAGATAAATAATTACTAATTAGAAAATATGTCCACCAATATTTATATATAATTATGAAACTAAAATAATGAGATTTTTCACATCGAAGTTATGAGAAAATAATAAATATTGAAATAATGAAATATGATCAATTAAACGTGAATCTATGCAACATAAAATAAGATTAATTGTACATTAAAGTCATTATGAGCAAAAAAATAGAATTCATTGTTAATGTATGAACATAATTTAAAGAGTAAAATTGACAACCCTATAATTAGCTAGAGATTTAATAAGCATTGTTGAAAATAAATATATACATATACATATATACAATATTTAGCTTAAACATGAAAGGAAAGCAGAGGGTTATGATGCTAGCTCGATAGAAGAAGGAGGTGAGGAAGGCTTACACGTTTCAACAAAAGAACAGAAATATAAAAGCTTCGGTGGTCTCTGTATGCCACTATCTCATCACTACCTTCCTGACCAGTTCTTACAAGGGTTCGACCTCTATGACAATGGTTTTGGGCAAAATATATGCGAGAAGGGGGGAGGACGTTGAGAAATACAGCTGTAAATGAACCAATGTTCTGGATGAACAACTCAAACTCAAACATCATTAAGCCACAATCTTGTTCGTTCAAATTAGTAAATGAACAAACTTAAACAATTTTTAAAAGCTCGAAGTTTAAATGAATTAAACATGAAAATAGTCGAATTTGTTCATTTATGTTCACGAATATTCGTTTGTTTTTCGACAAATAACTTGTTAAGTATGTTATATAATATATTATTTAAATAGAATTTAATCAACTAGAATATTAGCTTGTTTGTTGATAGGTCGGTGATAGCCCGTAACATATATACTATATAAATATTCAAATATTAAGTTTATTTAAGTTTTGAAGTTGTCATTTTTAGTTGTTTGATAAGACTTATATTAATCACAAATGCTACACAAATCATTCTACTAAATAACCCCTGAGTAACAGATTTATGACAATTTAAATGAGAAATGAGAATTAAAATATTGTAGGATTTAGAATTTTTAATCAATAAAGTAATCGTTTTGATCAAATTTGTAAACTTATTTACTGATTTTTTGTATGAATACTTAAATACTCGCTTAAATTCCTAGCTCATTTATTAACTCGTCTAAATATTTGATCATTTCTCATAAATAAATTAAATACAAATCAAATTCAAACATTAAAAAACTTAGACTGATCAAGCTTGAATAATATATGAAAGCCCAACACAAGCTCACATCACAACATGTAATTACACTAAGCCAAGTCATACACTCCAAAAAAAAAAAAAAAACAAATTACATTAAAAGAAAAAAAAAAAAGAGGTACGTATAACCATTTCGAAAACCCCTCCAAAAAACCCTAGCTCCCAACCATAGACTCTCCTCTATCTGGCGCCTCGCCGGTGGAGATGCCCGGCCGCCCGTCGGAACCAGACAACGCTGTAATCCCCTTGCCGGCGGAGGTTGAAATTCCTATTTACCACATACGGCATGGCGTCAAGCCCCCGATCATCCGGGTCTTCGCCTCGTGGTCGCGCGGGAATGTACTCCAAGTGGCGTGCATCCGCTCACTTGAGGATGATATCCCCGACGGGGAAGGAAATGGAATTTCTGGTGATGTGGATCTCGGTGGCAAGGTAGTTGAGGTGAAGCTTGGCACCGGTGACCCGACTATCAGCGAATCGCCGGGACGGAGGATTATTTACGATTCTGTTACCCCTTTTGCTCTCCTTCAGAGCCGAAGGAATACATTTTTAACGATGTCTAGGATGCCCTTTTCTTTTTCTCATCCTTCTGCTGTCTGGTATGCTTCGGAATTTTTAACACTTCGTTTTTACTTACTGCGGACCAGTTTCTGAACTTTGTGTTAAATTTGCTCTCTGGATTATTTATTCTTTCAAAGAGTAACTACGTTGGTAACTTTTTCATGTTTTATGGACATTATTGGGTTGAGGGAAATCCATTTTGCAGAATTCTTCCAGGAAGATTATATGGAATTCTCATGAATAGAATTTTTATAGTATTTGTTTTGGGGTGGCATTGCTTAATATTCATGGTAATTTTCTATGCACAAGAGTTCATCTGTAACTCATTTCTGTGATCTGCTTCCTGCAGGTGGCAGCAAGTCTTGGAGTATAGTAGGAGCATTTCAGAACTTTTTGGGACTTCAAATAATACATCACAATCTGTGATCGATGATCCGATGATGATCTTGGAGGTGCTTTTCTCTGATGTTATCATCTGCATAGCTGCCATTTTCTTCATATTTTGAACTGGTTATGTACTGTGCAGTATTTTGACTCTGTTAATGCTTTTTTTCTTTTTTAGTGATCTTCCAATTATTTATTATCATTTAAGCCTTTTTTTCCTCTTTAATTGCTAGAAAATCTAAAAATTTGTTGCTCTACTTCCTATTTGATATTAACGGCAGCCTTTTTTTTTTTCAGCAAGTTGAGAAACCTAGCAGTCTTAAGGCTGCATGGGAGTTGATGGAGATTTTTTATGCAGATAAACATTCTTTTTCATGGTTTCCAGAGCGTCTTGTTGACTGGTTGGCGGTACTGTTCTTCTTTGAAGTGATTTTTTATGAACATTAAAAAGAAAAACGATATATTTTACTTTGTTTTTATCTTAAATTTTCCTCATATGCGTTACTCCTAAATGTTTATACAGGAGTATGATGCTATACTATCTGAGACACAGATGACAGTCCATTTGAAGCTTGCCAAACTCCAAGAAAAATTGGTCAATTTACAGGTTTTCATTCTCTTAAAATTGTTTTTGTTATGATGGAACTATTATTATTATTATTATTATTATTATTATTATTATTTATCTAATTTGCAAACTAATGCCCTATGTATTAGCTTATTGCTAAATTGCTAGAAATTCTGATAGCATCTGCTTGAGTATGAACATTTTGCTTCACAATACATTCCTGCATTTACACGTGTTATTATTCAGCTATAAATATCTCACACAGGTGATTGAGGATGATCCTGAGTATTGGGAAGTGCTGTCATCAGTTCTTTCTATCGGATGGCTTGATGTTGCGGTTAGTAATTTGATATTCCAATTCACGTTATGTGCAAGGTTTATGTTCATGATTAACGGTGTTAACTTTCTATTGATGATCATTTATATGAATTTACTTTGACTGTTTATTTGACTGTATAGGCTAAATTGCTAAGGCTGCATGGTTCTTATCAGCTTAATCAAATCGATAATCGTGAGGTGTGTTAACTGACTGCATTGATTGAATTTGATTTCAACTAGCGTTTTATGATGATGAACAACATAAGTTTTTTTGCTTGCAAAACAAAAATCAGTGCTTCTTAGTTGCATGCTATGTTTTTCTTTATTTAATAGGGTTGAATTGACAAATTTTCTCATTCTGCTTTAGTTTCTTTAACAGATGATAGCATTATTTGGAATTGAAAAAAAATATACCATATTTAATGTTCTAGTGTATTTTATAATGCATAAGCATTTGCAGGGTTATCAAAAGATTTATTCAAAAGCTTTTCTTTTACATAATTTGAATTTTTGCCAACATTTTATTTTCTAGATTAATAAATGGGTAAATTTATTGATACCGACAATGGTATGAGTGCAAAAGTCAACAAGAAAATAATAAAGTAAATTGGGAGATCAACAAGAAGTTGGAGAGAAGACACAAATAATAGAAATCAGAAGCAAGAAAAGCTTAAAATCTTCGGAAATAGGGAAGAAAATAAAATGGAGATACACTAATCAAATAACGATACAAGATACAAGAGTTTATACTCTCGTCATCCATCGAGATACATAAATCATCACGTGAATGATTGGCGAAGGAAGGAGATCCGATAAGTCACCATCAACTACAAAGGGATACAGCTGCCACCATTCAACGTCGTGGATGCAAACACATTTCCATCAAGGAAACTACAAAGCTCTCACATATTTCTACCTCATTCCAAAAGTCCCCTAATACAACGAAAGACCAGTTATTTATAACTAAACTCAAACCCTAAATCTAATACAAGTAAATGGAAGAAAATACTGTTACTAATACATTGACCCACAACTTAAACTCAAATGACTCCATCACAATTAATTTGAAACACGACTAGACACTCTATGTCATTCTTCTCGAGTATGAGGGGCTTCTTCTTCATTTCTTGATGAACATCTGTCTTGACGAGATTCAAAATGAATTCTTGACTGGTTCTTGCAATAGTTCTTTTTAAAGGCATCTTGGACTAGCCAACGAGAAGTAAAAGCAGGGAGAAAAGTTTATGTTCTCTTCAAATGATGGGGTCTCGTAATGAATCCTCACTGTTGAAACGACAAGGACATCAATTATGAATTTTGGAAAGAATTATGAGAAAATTCTTTAAACCTGACAGCAAAACAAGGAACACCAAGTGCTCAGGTGAAATCTAAGAGTCGTGGACACTCGTCTGATTGCCTTCTAGGGTCTTGATGTCAAACAAAGGCTGAATTTTTTTTCTATATTATCAATTTGGAAGGCTGAAACTATCCCATGTAGAGGAAAGAAACTAGGAAATAACAATAGATAAAAAATGAAGTGGATTTTGGAATCAATTTGGAATCAAGAGGAGAAGTCCAAAAAAAAAAAAAGCACAAACAGGATTCAACAAAGAAGGGAAAAGAATAAATAACCTTGATGGATTGCTACCACATAAAATGGAGTAACTCCGTTCAATAAATGATGCTTCAAATGTCATGTGGTTGGCCACATAGCCTTAAATTGTCCAAAACAACACGTTACTTTTTTGGTAGAGGAAGCTAAACTAAAGGAGGATGATGTTGTAGAAGAAGACAATAATCTGACAATGGAGCAAGTTATCTATGCAGATGAATGAGAATTACATATGTTAAGGTGTCTATGTGTCTATTGTGTGTCGAACAATCTTTCAATCAAGATTGGTTACGATATAACATCATTAGAACACAATGCACGGTTCTGGACAATGTTTGTAACCTTATCATCGACTACAAAAGTTGTGAAAATGTGGTTTTAACAACTATGGTGGAGAAGCTTGGGCTAGCTACACAACCTCATTCCCATCCTTACCAACTCACGTGGCTCAAGAAGGGAGTTGAAATTAAGTCACCTGACAATACTTGGTGCAATTTTCGAACAGTTGTAAACTTCAGGAATGTGACGAAATTCCTATGGACGCTTATCATATATTGCTTGGTGTAATTCATGATGGATATGAAAATAATTATTTATTTATAAAAGAGGGAAATCGAACCAATTTGATGCTATTAAAGGAGGAGATTCAGTCGGGGACTAAACTCAACACTTTTACTCTTTCACCGGTACTTCCTCATCATTTTTGAAATTTCTGAACAACCACTGATACCCCATTTTGAAGTTCAGGGATTGATAAAACGGTTCGAAGACATCTTTCTGACAAAAATTTCTGCAGGGCTATCTTCCATGAGAGAGATACGACATTGTTGTGTATATGGAGCCAAAACACCCCAAGATGTTGACACTTAAGCGCAAGGGTTTGGGCGCTGACAGAGAGGGGGGCACCTTTGCGCCCCATTTGGGCACTCAAGCACCCATATTTTTGGCGCAAAGGAGTTGGCGCTTAAGCGCAAAGAAAGGAGTCGATGCTTAAGCGTCGATATTGGGCGCTCAAGCTTCTGGTTTGTGGGCGCGATCCCTAGTGCTTGGCTCTTAGGCACCAAATTTGGGCGTCTAAGCGCCCTGTGCAGTTACTGAGCTTTTTGGGTTTTTAAACCAATTTCGAACGGCGTAACGATGGACTGGGTGTAGGTCTTCCAATGGTGTTCTTCAACAAGTTTTTGATGGAGAGAAGAGTTGGAGAGGAGGATTTTCGGAATCTCGGCGTTTGTTTTTCACGTCGGATCAGAGAAAAAAGATTGTGGAGCATCCTGTAAGTTTCTTTTTGTGAGTGAAGAAAAAACTTGTGTGAGTACTTTGTAAAGCTATCTGATTTTCATAATGAATTTGTGGTGATGTGCCTCTGTGGTTTTTTTCCGTTCTCGGGTTTTTCCACGTAAATTCTCATATGTTTATTTGGTTGTTTTAATTTTGCTTTTGTGCTTAAATTAATTATTCCTATTTTCTAAAATCCTTTGATCCTATTCCACAGTGAAACTAGAAGGAAATTCTTTCAGTGTAGTTTCTCCCAACAGACACATCATTGATTTTGTGCCTAGTTTTGTTGTCCCCAACAAATATACATATATGATTTCTCCAAAAGAACATAAGGAGCTTCAACGCCAGGCTGTTGAGCTGCGTAGTGCTAGCCCATGCGCGGTTCCAATTCTCTTGGTTTCAAAGAAAGATGAGACATGACACATGTTCATTGACAATAGGGCTACAAATAAAATAGTTATCAAATATATGTTTCTCATTCCTCGATTGGACGACATTTTTTGATAAACTAAAAGGGACGTCTATTTTCTCAAAAATAGTTCTTCGAACTTTTTTTGATCAATTAAAAGGGGCGTTTGCTTTCCCTAAACTAGATCTTCGAAGCGGGTACCATCAAATATGTATGCAGCTAAGAGATAAATGGAAAACAACATTCAAGACAAGAGACAAGCTATACAAATGGAAAATGATGCTATTTGGGCTTTCTAATACTCCAAGCACATTCGTGCGCTTAATGAATCAACTTTTCCAATATTTTCCGGGACAGTAATGTTCTACTTCGTTGATATTTTGATTTATAGCTCTAACAAAGTTGAATATTTGCAAACTTACAAGGCATTTTTGAGGCTCTTCTGTCACAACAATTTTTTGTCAATAAGGTTAAGCGTGAATTCTTAGTTTACTACATCAATTTCTTGAGATTTGTGATCCTGACAATTGTAATGGAAGTGGATTCCGACAAAATTTCTATTGCAAGGGACTAGCCGACACCTACATCCTTCATTGAAGTTGAACAATTCCACAGGTTGGCCTCTCTGGTTCGTCAAGAGTATTAGTTCTATTGCTGCCTGATTAACTGAATTGCTCTAAGTCGGCCTATTTTTGTTGGACTAAGCAAGCACTACTTAGCTTTGATCGCTTGAAATAGGCCCTATGTGCCGCTCCTATCTTAAAGCTTATAGATGATTTGTTCGAAGTGGACTGTGATGCATGTGGCATCAGAATTGGAGCAACCCTTAGTCAACAAGGACACCCCATAGCATTTTTCAGCAAAAAAACTCAACAACTCTCTAATGAAATTTTCAAAATACGACAAAGAACTTCATTCCATTGTATGAGCTTTACAATACTGGAGTCATTATCTTTTAGCTAACAAATTTGTTCTCTATACAGATCATGAAGCCCTTAATTATTTCACAGTCAAAATAAACTAAAGTAAGGCATGCCATATGGACTGAATATATTTCAGCTTTTAATTTTATTCTCAAGCACAAATTAGGACTTTCCATTCAAGTGGTCGATGCTTTAGCCGCCGAAAAGCTATTCTATCAGTCATGCAAGCACAATTTGTGGGTTTTGAGCTGATACGAGGAATGTATGATAAGGATCCTAACTTCGGAGTAGCATGGAAGCAATCTGTAATCCTAAATTATAAAACCTTCCACATCAAGGATGATTTCTTGTTCAAGAAAAAATTATCTTTTGAAAAAGAGGTACTAGGCGGGCATTTTGGAAGAGATAAGACACTAGCTCCTTTACAAAACAAGTTTTATTGACCCTCTATGCATAAAGATGTGGACTACCATGTGAAGAAGTGTCGTATTTCTCATTTAGCCAAGAACTCAAAATTCATGTTTATACCTTCCTTTGGTCATTCCTCAATATCCTTGGATGGATGTTAGCTTGGATTTTGTGGTTGCTTTACCACAGACTCAATGACAAAAGGATTCAATCCTGGTTGTGGTGGATATATTTTCCAAGGTGACCCATTTTGTGTCATGAAAGGCCTCATTAGACCCTTGTCACATTGTCGTTTTGTAAAGTTAGTTTGTTTACATGGCATTCAACGTACTATCGTTTGATATCTGGATATTAAGTTTTAAAGCCACTTTTGGAAGACATTATGGAGCGAGGACCAAACTTCAATATAGTTCAACTTCCCATCTACAAACCGATGGGCAAATATAATATGCTAATAGAATTCTTGGGAATCTACTTCGTTGTAAGAATTTTGTACAATGAGATCTTCTATCACAAGTGGAGTTTTCTTATAAGTGATTCTGCCACCAAACCTCCAAATATAATCCTTTTGAGGTGGTTTATGGGAAATATACCATTGAATATTCTAATCAAGTTTAGCGGCCCAGGAAATAGAGGGCTCAGCTACAAGAAATTAAAGAGCACTTTAAATTGGTTTTGGAGAATATGTCGAGACAAAATGTAGTGTATTGACAATGAGAAAACCAAAATAGAAGGGCGGTCACTTTCAAAGAACGAAACGAAGTATGGATTCAATTAAGTAAAGAGTGTTTTCATTCGGGAAAACATGGCAAGCTCAAGGCCAAAACAAATTGCCCTTTCCAGATTGTGAAGCGTATTAATGACAACACTTACCGAATTGATCTCCTTGGAGACTATAATATTTCTACTACGTTCAACATCTCTAACTTGACTCCTTACCAAGAATCTGATTCTGAAATTACTTATTATGAAGAATACCTCGTAAAATGACATCGGAGCTTGAAGAGTTTGTTGTCCTAGTGTTCTTGTGGTTGTATTTATTTAGCCTTTTAATGTGTTGTGTTTTTCTGTAGTTTTATTTCTTTTGAGCGGCATACTTGTAATTAGGAAAGGTTTTAGCTTAAATATAAAAGACCTGGGAACTGTTTTAGAGGGCCAGTTTTTGCTAGAGTTTTCTGTTTTGATTTGGTATTTCTACCGATTCCCTTGCTGTTGTATTTTGAGATGGCTCTCCCGTTGTGTTTTAGTCAATGCATTGTGTTCTTATCTCAAATTCCTAAAATATATCTCGCCCAATTGAGTTTTTTTCCTGTTGCTGTTTCCGGTTTTCCCTCCATTGATTTTATCTGTTCTCTGTTGCAATTTCTGGTCGGACTCCCTACTCTGTTCATTCTCCCTTTGCGGGCTCTCAGCTGCCGTACCACTCATACTACTGAATGCATTTCTAAAGCACATTTATGCATATAAATAGAATACAATTATAACTTTGTATGTTTCATACAGACAGAAAACGGGCTGGTTGAGACAGTTGCTGTTCTCATATCAACAATGCCACGTTTGCGTCATGATTTGCCAATGGGGAAATTAGGTCAATGCTATAAAACCAAACCGGATTTTATAAAGGTATTCCTGCAAATAGTGCAACCTGATTATTTACTGTACATTTCACTGATGCAATTATTTTACTTCTCACTGTAGGCATGGGAGAAATGGCGTGACCAGATAACTAAATTGGACTGCAGTGCCTTTTGGGTTCAATGTAGCCATCGCCCAACTCGTGAGGGCCTACGAAATCTCTTGCAAATCATGCTGGGAAATTTTAACAGCATTTCTAAAGCTTGTTTTCATTGGATGGAGCTGTTTATATCACACTTCCTTTTCATAAGACCTCTTACTGTGGTTTGTAATTTTTAAGAGCAGTTTTTGACATTATTTTCAGTGTTTTTTTACCCTTTTTCAAGTTTTCTAAACACACATATTCAGTCCTCATCAAAATCTGTTCAAATAAGGATAAAGTTATTTTTTTATACCCTTTCCTATTTCTACTCCAAATATAAATTTATAATTTTCTTGATGAAAATTCTATTTATCATTTATTTTCAGTGTTTTCTTACCCAAGTTCGATAGGCTTTGTAGTATTTTCTTTTTTTTTTTTAAATTCGAATTGCTATGATGATGCGGGTGTTGAAACAATGTTTGGTTACAGACGCTAAAACAATGCCCGATTCAGTGCGCTAAATCCTACAGGGATCAGAAACCCCACATATCATCAGGGGTGGGAGAAGAATTCCGCGATCTCCACGAAGGCAGGAGGAAGCGCGAAGGCGGGAGGGCGAAATCGTGATCTGGGAATTTGCTTTTGCAAGCTGCCGCACCATTGTAGTATTTTTTAGATTCTTCTTGCCTTCTCACCGCTTCTTTGTGTAGAAGTTTCCTTTGTCCAGTGACATTCCATAAATTGTTGTTCTCTGTGTATAGGGGAGTCAGTTCTTGCTGTGTTTATCTTTCAGATTTCTTGTGTTACGTCATTTTTCCTGTTCTAGGGCTATATTCGAGAAGGTGGTAGTGTTTTTATTGTATCCTACTCCGATGTGGTGTTGTATCCTTCTCCCTTTCACCCTCCCTAATCCGTCTCCTCCACTCTCCTCTCCTTAGCCACCGGCCTTTCCCCTCCTTCATTCCTTCACTCAGGCGACCCATTGTTTAGCTATCCTCCCTCCTTCCTAACACTCCCAACCAACCGTTCCTCACCCCACTACCGCTGTCTTTGCTGTCCAGTACCTTTGAGCCACCCCTTCGCTTGTCGTCGGTCACCTGCGACCCTCCATATTTGTTGTCCCCGCAATTCTGCACTTTCCCCTCCTCTGCCACTAGCATTCTTTTGCTGCCATCAGCCCCGCTAGCCATCCCAACTCACCTCGCTGGCCTCCATCACCCTTGGAATACAGTTGAGAGGTGTTTGCTTGTGTCGTTTTGTTTTTGAGTTGTTATTTCCCGTTTGTGTCATGTTGTAACCCTAAGTTAATATTAATGAAAGTTTGCTTTTGTGTTTCTTCTGTTTTTCCTATCATGTCCAATATCATATGATCTTATTGCTTGATGCATGACATACTTATAAATAGAGAGTAGCACGCTATGGCTTAGGTGCCTCCTTGATCCTAAATTCATTGTGCATAATGTTCCGTAAACTATTTTAGAAACATCCTAAGTCATAAAACACCATTAAATATTTATCAACTCGACAATGCAAGAGAATATTCAAAAGATATAAAAATACAAGCAATGCCATATAAATAGAATATAAGATTGTCTTAGTATGCATGGAGGTTTGCTAATGACAATCATATTAAAATATAACACATCCTGTTATGGAAAACAATTTGATATGCATATACATTTTTATAGTTTTTGCAATGCATAATATTATAATGAAATATTACACTTTGGAACATGGAATAAAACTTAATTAATAGTTAACAAGTTTCATATTAAAAAAAGGAAGAAAAAAATTACTCATCCTCAAAACCATTAGCATTATAAACCAAAATGGTCTTGCCTTCTTTTTATCGCTTTTAAGTTATAATCTTTTTCATCACTCATTTAATTGCCATGTTCATTTGCAAGCATGCTAAGAGTGTATTACGATTCAAACTCTTTTTATATAGATCAATCTTTAATGCTATTGTTTCACTCATATATACAACAATTTCTTGCAATGTTATTCTATGTTAATTTTTACTCTTCAAACACCGATTCATCTAATTCATTTAAATCATCATTCAATGTTCATATTAACTTCACATTAACATCATCTATTCAATTTAAAAAATGATCCAATAATATCACCACAGTTGTCTCTAAGAACGAAGAATCTCTATTTTATGTAAAGTAAGTCAAAGAACTTATGCCCAAGTTCTTAAACCAAAGAAATCTAAATTTAAAAGTATACAAAAATCATTCAACTACTTGGAAACATAAAATAACGAGCTATATGTGTTTTGTTATATCATTGTTGCACACAATGTGTGGTATTTTGCCTTATAGTGTGCGCTAATTAATAAATGTAACACTGTTAAAAGCAAAAATTTCATAAATTCTACAAATTAAATGCACATCACAAATGTGATAATAAGAGAAAAGATAAAGACAGAAGTAGATGAAAAATTTGGCCATCATGTTGAGAGCATATAATCACATGCTCAAGATATGGTAAAATATAAGATTAGAGATAATGAAATATTTAAGAGAAAGTATCTGGCATAGTGTTACCAAGGGTGACCCAAATGTTGGTGTAGGCACCCAAGCGAGACTCCTATGTCTCAAATACCTTTCAAGTGGGTGCCATAATAAAGCACTTCCTTAGTGTTTGCTTTGTTGCAAGGCTTGTGCGTTAGGCTCTTGCCTTGGAGATTTAATTTTTATTTATTTTTTAAATTTTTTTTAAAGCGTGTACAACCCAATATGAGATGGAGGGCTACAAATCTAATTGATGGGGGAAGAAAGCATGGGTGATGAAAAATAAATAGATAATATCTAAGATTGGAAAAGTTTACACTATGAAAGTTACCGACTGCTATTGTTATTTGCTTGTTTGAACTTGGAACATAGTTTTTTGGCTTTGTGGGAACTTGTTAAAAATATGTTAAAATTGCAGCATCTTCCTTGCTCAAGCGAGTGCTCGAGGAATGAAGTAGGGTCTGTTTGGGGCAGCTGCAACTTATTAATAAGATGCTGATAAGCAGCTGATCCAGATAAGTTGCTGATCAACAACTGATCTAGATAAACTGTTTGGTTGTTTGGTTTGTGTTGTTGAAAAAAAACTATTATGCAGTTGTTTCTGGATAAATGACCATTCTGCACCCTGTGCAGTAATGCTGTTTGTATCAGAACCAACATAACAATATATTTGATACTTGAGAATAAAAAACGACTTCTGAACAATACAAAAAATAAGATACAGACCTCACTTAACAGTGAATATCAAAATTGATTAAAAAAATTATTAAAATTACAATTTAAAATATGATAATATTAAATTTAAAATTCAGATGGTGTATAACAAGAGTTACATCGTTCTTCAGGGATATTATCCAACCTCGATCACTATCGGCAGTAGAATCTGGCGGACTGTCTGCACATCTGAAGAAGTCGCACTTCTCTGTGATGGACTGCGGGCACCTGTAGAACTGTATCTCGTAGCTATGTTCCCAACGTGACGTCAGTAGAGAAGTATGTTGTCTGCAGTGACAGAGTACTCGTCGCGAGGTCTTTGAAATCTTGGGGCTTATCTTTCTTGAATGATTCATAAGACAATCCATTAGGCATTATAGAAGTTGAGATTGCTAAAAAAAGTAATTAATTGCAATTTTTACAGGTGTGAGGTCTCAGAAAATAAAATATATCAACCAATGAATCTGTCACTACAAGAAGACATCAAACCTTGTAAAGAAAGGATTCTCAGTTGCCTTTAACTCATTTAATACCAAGTTCATGTGCGTCATATATGCATATCACAAAAAAAAAAAACCATCCAAAAGTATCTCAAAATATGATTGTCTTCCCTATCCCACATGATTGATAAACTGACTTTTTTGATCTTAACCATTGCGTTGCTAAACAAAGAAAAGAGAAAACATTAATAATCCATATCAACTAGAGATGAGAAAATAGTCACAAACCCCCACCAACACACCCACGACTACCTCCCCTACACCTCCACCCCCCCCCAAAACCCACACCCACAACCCACACCTCCACCATCAACATACACCCACCTCCACCATCAACATACACCCACCTCCACGACCTCCACCACCAGCTACCCCAACACACACCCAACCACCTCCAACACACTAACAATCCCCACCCCTACACCCACAAACCACTAACAGCCACCACCCCTACACACCCACAACCCACACCTCCACCACCAACACACACCCACCCCCACCACTATACACCCACAGTCACACACCCCCATCCACCACCTCCACCACCAACCACCTCAACAGTCTCACACACACAACCACCAACTCTACCACCAGCCACCCCAATACACACTCAACCACCACCAGCCCACGAACAACTACCTTCTTTACACACCCATAGCCCACGAACAACCACCTCCTCTTCACACCCACAACCACCTTCCCTACTCCCAACACACCCCCAACACACACCCAATACACTCTCACCACCACTGCATACCCACAGTCACACAGCTACAACCACCACCTCCACCACCAGCCAACCCAACACATACCCAACCACCACCAACACACCCACAACCCCCTCCCCTACACACCCACAGCCCACTAACATCCACCTCCCCTACACTCCCACAACCCACTAACATCCACCTCCTCTACACACCCACAACCCAATAAAAACCTAGATGATATACATGAAGTCACAAAGAATGGTTGAGCTGATCCAACCATCACTATATCCTAGAAAAACTCTCAAGTATGACTGGGCTGCCTCATAACAATCATCATAACTACCATCATACTCAACACACCTTTCCCATCAAATTTGATCAGTTCGATGTTTGGTAAAAAATCTAAGGATCCCCCATCATGCGACATGAACAAGAAATCATCTCTAGAGCAGGTAATCAATGCCCTGATGTTGCTTAAAGGCTCATTTGAACCCAAAAAAAAGTCTTCCCGTAGCCTCAAACAATCTCGTTTATAGTTCAATGAAAGAACAATTCACCAAACAAGCATGAGCAACGAATGTGCCAAGTACACCAAGGCACCTGAAACAATGCTATTGAACAAATCGAGCACCCTATTTCATCCATTATTTAAATTCTCAGTAAAACATCAAACCAACCTTAAAAACCCCATCAACAGAGAAAGCCAAAAAACACAGGAAGAAAGCCATTCCATAAAAAAATTATCACAGGATTAACTACAAAAATATCCGTTTGTCAGATTCAAGATCAAATAAAGAAAAATAAAAACAGTAGGGAATGTAGAGTTTAGGCAATTACAACCAAGGCACCCGAAACAATGCTCCTAAACAAATCAAGCACCCTATTTCATCCATTCATCAAATTCTCGGTAAAACATCAAACCAACCTAAAAAATCTCATCAATAAAGAAAGCCAAAAAGAGCATGAAGAAAGCCATTCCATAAAAAATTACCACAAGAACAACTGTAGTAACCAAAAATTTGAGGGAGGAGGAAGAGAAGAAAGGGAACACTACGCTTGAAAGAGATTGAGGCACGAGAGAGAGTCCCAAGGGTTCGCGAGAGCGATCGACGCTAGGTTGATGAGACACGAGAGAGGCACGAGGTCGAGGGTAACGGGGTAATTATTTTGAACCCGCGGCTGCGTTTAATAGAATATCATTATGGATTATTAGGATAAGCTCCCGCGGTTCACGAAACAAACGCCCCCGTACTCTTCTTCAAAACACACCGCACCAAATAAGATGCTCCAAACGGGCCCTAAGTTACCTTGAGATTTTTAATGATTTTAATAATATTGATTTGGCAAAAAAGCGGTCTGCATCATTATCATGTTTTTCTGATTACATTTTGTAAGATGGAGGGAATGTGATATGATAAGCATTTGACAAATTGCTATTTACATTTTTCTTTGTTATATTTTATTTTGATCTATAACTAAAAACACACATCGGATTAGGTCTTGAGTTGGTGTCATATTCATGGGGTAACATGAGTAAAACCACTCGTATAACCTAGTGTGCCATCATTGTCATTGCTCGGTGGGTGGTTAATAGGCAAGAAATTATATGGGCGAACCCCATCAATAAATTAGAGGCGAGGACATAATAACCATTGGCTGTCTTTATGCTTAGGATTTGTCAGACTTGAATGACATTTATCGGGTTACTATTTTCGGATTACAAGTTTGTAGTTGCAGTACCTCGATTCTTATAACATTTAATGAAAAGAATTCTCCTCCCGGTCTTTTTGATATTCATTTGAATTGAAGGAATGAGCCGCTCGGTCTCACTGCTCAGTGCTCATACATCACAAGTTCTTGCAACAGCTGAATTTCACATTGAAATTCCTTCATGTTTACTTTTTGAGCAATAATTTTAAATTTACAAGTAAATGGAAGAAATTTAAGTAGACAGCTCACTAAAGACATTACAAGGTTAGGCCTTCACTTGACCAACGTGAATCTCCTATGACAATGAGAAATTTTGGTGGAGATCTTAAGAGCCTGGAAAAGAAATGAAGCATTTAAATACCTTGCCCCGTCAAGGAATTTCTGTTGGTGTTCATTTCTGCCTTAACGAGAAGCTACTGCTCTTTAATGTGTTTTTGAGAACCATCAGCTGTTATTCTGCAAAGCATGAAAATGATCTAGCTTCTGTATCGCATAGCCAACTGGAATAATGGCAGCCTTCTATCTTTGTCAGTATTTCCAAAAAAAGCTCAGCCCGGGTTGTAGAAATTATTGAATTGGCCCAGCTCTACCTTTTTTAGCCTGTGTCCTATTTTGGTGGCAACTCTGTAGTTCCCAGCCGCAACACTTTTGTGCTTTTAATTGGACAGATTTTTATTTATTTATTTTTTTTAGGACCCATGCACTTGCGAAGTTGTAAAAAACAGAACTCCTAAATGCTGTAAAAAATATTCAATTACATAAAGCACCTTAACATTGTTATTATGGTTGTCATGTTGTTAAAGACCTTGAAATAAACATGTTTGTGTGGGTTTGCTTCAATCTATGGTAGTGATTGGGGGTGATCATGTAGAAGGCGGGGGTGACCATCGACCTGAGAGGTTGGATTAGAAACGTGGAGATGTGGATGTAGTGGGTTGGTATTGCTTTTTTCCCCAATCCCTTCCCCTCCACCCAACCCGCTTGGGAAAATTATGTTTTTTTTTTTTAATTTATTATTATTATTATTATTTTTTGTAGAGCAGTTGAAAGCTTATAAGTAGCCAAAAAAAGAACCTTAAATGCTATAAAAATGACTAAATTACTTAATGCACGTAAAAATTTCTTGCATGTCTGATATTTTCTTAGGGCCTGAAATAAACATGCTTGAGTGGGTGTGCTTCAATTTTTCTGTATTAACCTTCTCTTTTTATGAACAATGTAAAATCTGTCCATTCCATCTTTCTCTGTACTTTTTGCTGTTGAATTCTATTTGCCATATTGATCTTGTTTCTCAGGGTTTTGAAGAGATGCTAGGATCGGCTCTAAAATTTATGCGATTAAAATCAAGCAATGTTTCCAATGGGTTGATGAGGCTTCTTCTTGGCATTCTCGGAGAAAATACTGAGGTAAAATTAGGATTTACTTGCGTTGTGCTTCTAAAATTCTTGCTTAGAATTCTTTTTAGGTGATATATATTCAAGTGCATATAAAGTTCTCTTTCAGGTTGTCATGGCAGAATGCTTTAAATCATTTGGACCATGGTAAGCTATGCAATGTATGTGTACGTCGTTATTTTTAGTAGTTAGGAATCTGGCATTTGTTTTCCTTTTTCTTGCTGCATTATTTTAAAAATAGATACTCTTTCTTCTCTTTTAGGATGGTTACCCATTCTGCGGAGTTATTGACAGCTGACAGCCATCAAAATGAGCTTCTTTTGTATGAGGAGAGGTACAGCTTGGGTGGTATCAGCATAATGGAACTGCACCGCCTTATTTATGCTCAAGTTTTGGCTTCTCATTCAGTGACTTGGCAAGTATGTTAAACTAATCTGTAGTTGCTTTTTAATAATAATTTTTAGAGTCCATTTGAAGTTATATGAGCAAATGGTTCCAAGCGTAGGTATGCAGTTGCCTTTATATAATAACCAAGTTAGTGTTGCAACTTTTATATGCAGTGAACAGCTCTTAACATAATCATTGAAATTGATGTTGTCTGAACAAAGTTTTCATATTGCTAAGGACTGTTGCATGCGCAAGAATTTCTATTTGGTTCGATGCACAAAATATAAAATGAAGCAACACTTTTATTAACTTGAGTGTTCATTATTGGTATATAATTTGTGTATTACAGGCGTCTAATGACATCCAAGTAATCAAACACTCCAGATAAGTTAATGATTTTCAATAAATTTATCAATAATTTCAACAACAATAGTAAAAATGTCAAGTATGGATTTTTTTTAAAAGATGGATTAAAATTTAAAATAAATATAATGTGCATATCTAATTTAAAAATGAGATTCAAAAGTGAACCGTCAATGTAATTTCTAATCATTTCTATTATTAATGAGAATTGCCAAAAATTTAGTAGTAGAGTAGCAATTTGTTGTAAAAGTAAGAACTTCAGGGTTTCTTTTTAAAATTAAAAGAAAAAAATAAAAATTAAAAAGTAATTATTTCAACACAAAAAGTTAAATGCATAAAATCACAAGTCTCATAAACAAGCTTAAGGGAAAATTTTAGTTATCATCTCCTCTTTCATTCACGTGATATTTTTTCCCCTTTTAAGTTGAATTTGTTCGTTATCAAAATTTTCTTTTTCTTATTTTGGTGATTCAATGTCATTCTTTTTTCGGAAAATAATTCCTCTAAAATTAGGTCAAGATCAACTAGTTTTCATCATGTATAAATTTTCAGTTGTTTTTTACCTACTAAGGGTCTGTTTGGGGCAGCTGCAGCTTATCCAGCTTGTCCAGATAAACAACTTATCCTGATAAGCTGACTAGCTGTTTGGTTTGTGTGTTTCAAAAACAACTGATTCTAGATAAATGACCATTCTGCCCCTATTCTGGATAAGCTGTTTAGCTGTTTGGTTTGCGTGTTTGAAAAACAACTGATTTGCAGTTTTTTGTAGAGAAAAAACCATTCAGACAGTCGCAGTGTTGTTGTTTATACTTGAACTTTAACAACTACACATCTGACAGTTGAGATCCAAAAATATTATTTCATAACAGTACAAAATTATGATAATTTTAATAAAAAACTTATTAAATAGAGAGCTTATAAAATATCATTGCTTATTAAAATCTATTAAATATCAACAAATGATATAAAATAAGCAATAATAGCTCATATTTTAATCGATCATTCATACCAAGCTGAGTTTCAAATCCATAGAAATAATAAAAGCCCACTCTTTAAAAACACAATGGCTTCTCAACCCACACACCTCAAACATGGCCATTCTCACACACAAAAACTTGAAGAATCCCCCCAACAAAATCTGGATTTCAAATTGAAAGTCTCATCGATCTTACAAATGACTCATTTTTGCCTCAATTCCAAATCCGTACTTCCTGCTCCACAGAATGCTTCTTGAAATACTTCAACACATCCATAAACGAAGGTTTTAATTTTCATCAACGGTTTTACATCATAAACCATTCTTCCCTTAAGAAAATTTATGATGAGTCATGGATTAAAAACAGAAAGTAGAGACTTCAAAGAAGTTCGTTGCTTATTAAACTGCATGAGAGAGGGAAAAAAAAAAGTAAACAACAGCAAAAACAAATAAATGAACATTAATAGTTCAAATCTCAATTAAACACTCATACCAGCTGAACACCAAAACTTTGTAGGGATCCGTTATAGCATGATAAAGGTTCTATGTACGTTCTCCTGAAAACCCTTTCATTAGCACGATTGTATATATTGTATTCCAGACACCGCTTGAATGCTAATTTTGGCGTAAAGTCCAGGGCTCAGCTTATGAACAAAGAAAGATTTTAAACAAGCAATGGATATAGAACGATACTATCACTAATTCAAAAAAATTGCAGTTTTTTCGGTAATCTAAATGAAGAATACATTGTCTGAAACAGATAGAGGGGGAAAGGAAGAAGCTGAACCCTAAGACTTCAAAATTACTTTGTATTTCAATCACTATACGTTCGTTACAGTCCTCAATTCCTGATAAAGCTAAGCACATCTGGTTTGAATTGGGAAGACGACAAAGAATAACATGAAAACTTTCAGTTCAAACCTTGGAACTACCGACCCTGTAAGCAAAGGATCGTGGCTGCAAAGAGACCGAGCTAAGGTTCCGTCTGGGAGGAAGGCGAACGCGATAGCGGGGTGATTTTGTGGATTCCGGATCTAATATTTTGTAGTGTCAGGTAGGAGTTGGGCGATTTTGTGGAGGAGCTCGGCATCGCAATGGGAACAGCGTGAAGAGGAAGCACCAGATATTGTGGTTAGTTGGGGACCGGAAACCGAGATATCCATTAGGGCGGGAGACCCTCCAGAGCTACACCATGGAGAGAAAGAAGCAGTTATATCTGGTTCGAAATGGGAAGACAACAAAGAATACCCAACGATAGCGGGGTGATGCGCTTAGGGCAGAGAGAACGCGAGCGAGGGTCTAAGAAGTCTTTCGCTCCCAGGAAACGCGGATCGCGGAGTCTTGCCCGCGATACACATTTAATACAAAATAGCAAATGGAGTTTTCCAAAACGCCTTCAAAACGCAATATTCAAACAGTCGGTGACGTTTTCAAAACGCCACTACTGTAAATAAGCCCTCTCAAACACACCCTCAATCTTACATATCACCTTCTATTAACTTATCGTGATGCCTCTTTCATTTATCACCATCACCAAAATTTTCCATTTTCACAATTATTCAGTCATAACTTTGATTAATACAAGTCAGATTAATTGGGCCAATAACAACTCTTTAAATATTTTTTTTCTTTCTATGTTTGATTTTATTTGATTAACACTATGTCTTCTGAATGCTTCTGACCCAACCGATTCTTTTCTTCGTATGAATTTGTAGAAAAAATTCAAAGTAAAATTTTCAAAATATGTGTTATTTAGTATACTAAAAATTAATAAATTGCTAATCAAATTTAAGGTATGCTCATAACTAACTACAACATTTCAAGTCTTGCTTAAAACCTTAAATTCTCAATTTATTATAAAGCTAAGGTTGATGCACCATACTCCGTTGTATAATGATTATATTATTACGTTCAAGCAAAAATAAAACCTACATAAATAATCAAAAATTTTGTAAAAGTTTTAATTAATAATTCTATTTCAAATTTTTAATGTGTATTGTGGATGTTAAACTCAGTCACAAATAGGCTATTGGCACAATTAAATTTTTTAATTTATAGTCAGTATTTCATGATGAAGCAAATGTTATATGGGATAAAGTCACAAACAATATTAAATAAGTAGCAAAAGATGTTATTGGAGAATCAAAAGGAAAAAAATTCTTTATATAAAAATAGTTGGTGGTGAAATAATAATGTGCACGAAAAGATACAATATAAGAAGCTATGTTATAAAAATTGATTTAAATGTAAAAGCTTAGAGAACTGAGAAAAATATCAAACGGCCCGCAGGTAGTTTAAAAAAACAATATGTGACGCTAAAAATTCTTATTTTAATGATCTTTATAGTAGATTAGATACTAAGGAGGGTGAAAAATATATTTATAAACTAGTCAAACAAAGAGAAAAAAATAAAGATTTAACTCAAGTAAAGTGTATTAAAAATGAAAATCAAAAAGTATTTTTTTTAGAAAAAAATATTCAACATAGGTAAGTTATTTTGATAAACTTTTTAATGAAGTTTCTGAAAATACGATCGACTTTAGTGATATTAATATCGTTAATAATAATAAAAGTTTCATTTTATCACCACATTAGTAAAAAAAAAGTTGAGGAGGCTTTAAAGAAAATCGAGGGTGAAAAGTCATTAGGACCTGATGATATCTCAATTGAAGTATCGAATTATTTAGGATATTTGGGAGTTTCTTAGCTTACTAAACTCTTTAATATTATTTTAAAAACTATAAAGATGCATGAGGAGCGGAAGAAGAGTATTTTGGTCCCCTTTTTTAAGAATAAAGGGGATGCATAAGAGTGTGCAAGTTATAGAGGAATTAAGTTGATTTGTCGTACTTTAAAATAATGGGAGAGGGTAATTGAACATAGGTTAAGACGTTTCGAAAAAATTTCTCATATTCAATTTAGATTTGTGATGGACAGATCTACTATGAAAGATGTACATTTATTGAGAGATTTGTTGGAGAAGTTTAGAGATAATAAAGAGAATCTACATTTGATTTTTATTGATTTAGAAAAAGCTTACGATAAGGTTCCAATAGTTATCATTTGGAGAGTTCTTGAGAAGAAAGGTGTTGATATGACTTATATTCAAGTCATTAAATATATGTATACTGGAGCTGTTACTTGTGTTCGAGCTGAAGGAGGATTGGCCAAATATTTTTCTATTTATGTCGGATTACATCGGGGATCCGCTTTAAACCCATATCTTTTTGCTTTAGTTATGGATGGTCTTTCTGG